GGCCCGAAACGTCAGCCTCTCTGCTCCTATGATGCTGCTTGGCCTGCTGTGTTCATCCAGCCCTGCACCTTGTTGTCATGGTTTATGGGAATGTCATTTGTATATTTATTTTTGCAACATCTGGATACAGTATTGAGAATGAGGAGTGAACATCTGTTTTTATGTGAGCTGAGCCACGATAAAGCTGGCAAGTTATTTTTAACCAGCTAATGGATTATTACAAGTCCTATCCAAATGTGGGACAGAGGCATTCTGAATTACTTCAATATTCTTTCTTAGGAAGCATTTAAATTGTTGGAATTCCCGATCTCCTGCCCTCCTCTATCTCTGCCCACAATCCTAGCAGATAGATACTAACTAGTTATTGATGTCTAGTTGACTAAATATTCCCCAATTGGTTCACGCATGTGTTTGGCTATTGCTCGAGATCCAAGCCCATCTTACGTTCTCTAGTTCCCCTTTCTGTGTGTACCTATCCTGATATCCCCAATTTGTCAATGCTTTCACATCCTTTCGCCTCTCCCGCCACTACCCTAGGCTTTATTCCCTCTTAAAATATCTGACAGCCCCTGCTTACACACTCCTCTCTCACGACTGTACCCTCACGTATAAATGAGAGCTTTGCCATCCTTGATGCTGTTAAGGATGATTCCAATTGAGTTATGGCCCTGATGGAAGGACATGGTTGAGGACTGATACCCTTTTTCTTTAATCAGATGTCCCTGTTTGGTCATACTGTTGCTCAAATTATGGTGGTGCTGTTGCTGGTGGTTCAGCACTTATGTGTAAATTGTTGCTTAGACTGTCTACCTACTCTTACATTTGCCTTTAAAATTCTTGGTCAGTACAGCCTCCTCCTCCCCTCCACCAACTCAGTATTATACTAGGTTTCTCCCCGAAATATCCTCTGCACTCTAGAATTTCCAACTATCTAGCCATTGACCTCAATTCATCCAGCTGCTAATTTATTAAATGGTGCCCTCCTGAACCAGTGTTGATGCCCATCTCCTTAATGAAATTGTTACCACTTTTTAACTTTGTTGTTTCCCTTGATAAAGCTCACCATCTTCACCCTCTGAAGTCTAAGAGAGCCTTAGGTTTGATTGTCTCTAACAGACAATCGACTTTTTGGTCCACCGCTAAAATCTGGCTGGCTTGTGTCATGCAGCGATCACTAAAACTGTTCAAATGTTAAAGTTGTTTAAATAATACTCAGGCAAGTGAAAATGACACACAGCGTTACTTCTTTAAAAAAAATCTGATCAGGAATGGACCGTTCAACCTTTCAAGCCTGCTCTCCCATTCAATGTGATCAGGGACAATCATCCAACTCAGTACACTGTTCCCACTTTCTCCACCATATCCTTTTATCCCTTTAGCTCTAAGAACTATATCTAACTTCTTGAAAACATTCAATATTTCGGCCTCCACCACTTTCTGTGGCAGACAATTCCACAGACTCACCATTTTCTGAGTGAAGAAATTTCCCCTCATCTCAGTCCTAACTGTGAGCCCTGATTCTGAACTCCCTGGTCATAGGGAACATCCTCCCTATAGTTAATCTGTCTGGTCTTGTTAGAAATTTATAGCAAACAACATCCACCGCCGCTTGTTCGCTCACCCCCGAACGAGCTTGTGGTCCTTTTGTTGCAACAATTAAGACCATCTGTGTGGCTCTGTCTGCCGTTTCCCTCTATTTCCCCTTGGTTCACTATGTGAACCTCCTTTGAGGTTAACCCCACCTCAGCCCTCAGTTTGTATTATTCTTGAGTTTTCATTACATTTTCCATCTTGGATAGGAGTTGGGGTGTCATGTTGCAGCTGTACAAGACATTGGTGAGGCCACTTGTAAAATACTGTGTACGATTCAGGACACCCTTCTACAGGAAGGATGTTGTTAAACTTGAAAGGCTTCAGAAAAGATTTAAATGTTGCTGCTGGGATTGGAGGGTTTGAGCTATAGGGAGAGGGTGAATAGGCTAGGGATTTTCTCCCTGGAGAATCAGAGGCTGAGGGTTGACCTGACAGAGGTTTTATATATTTATATATATTTTCAGAAAGAAGAAAACCCTTCTGAAGAAGGGTCCCAACTCTGAACGTCAGCTTTCCTGTTTCTCTGATGCTGCCTGGCCTGCTGTGTTCCTCCAGCTCCACACTTTTTTATCTCTGACTCCAGCATCTGCAGTTCTTGCAATCTCAATGAATTTAAAATGTTTTTGGATGCCATAACTTAATGCAAGTTGATACATAAATGTAAATGTCTCTCTGATGAGGAAAGATTATATTCTTTGTGAGCTGGAAATTATAAACACATCAAACACCTGGTCCACAATGAAATTGACCAATATATTGTATCGAGAACTGTTACTGTCCGATCCTGAGTGTTTTGGTGAATTGGGAACATAACATGGTGACTCCCTCACCATACTTAGAATTTTAGTCTTCCCAGAATGGAAAGTACAAGTCAAACATCCGTCACCTGAAGAGGATCTGTCTATAATTTACATCCCTAATTAAAGCAGGGTCTGATTCTACCCCATACCCACTCCTGAGAGCTGACTCACTTTACCAACACAAACACTCTCACATGAGGTGACATTTTCTCAGAATACTGCAGATAGCAATTTCTTTAAAAACCCTGTACTTTAGTCTCGTCCCCAATTCCAATGGTCTGAAATAACACCAAACTTTAGTGACGCATGATGACACCAGGACTGCCTTTGTGAACATGACTCTCAAATATTTGACCTTCTGCAACAAAATTACCATCAGCCCTCACTGATGGGCAGAACTAGCCAAGGTCACTACTCAAGGGGCAGCATTTCAACAGCTCGAAGTTGACACTCAAAGTTAAATCTGGAAGACAAATGACATGTCGTGCTAGAGAAAGCCTGAAAGATCCAGCTACAGGCTGATCTTCATGTCATGTAAATTATTTTGAAGTCACCAAGGCCACCTATAGACTGAGGTCAAAAGAACAAAACCCGTTTCATTCACAGGATGGTGTTTCTCTTCCGAAGAATGACAGACACCCATTAACACTGGAGAGAACATTTTGAACAACACGTCAACCATGAATCCACAGGGAAAGTTGATACCCTCCAGTCTATCCCCTAATACCTTGTGGCAGAATCTATGGGTGAGACACCATCAATGGGACAGCTGCAACAAGCAATCAAACAGATGAGAAACAACAAATCCTGCAGTCCTGATGAGTTTCAAAAGTCAAGGCTCCCACACTTAACCTGCAGATTTGGGAAGAAAAGAAACACAGCCTCTACTTCAGGGGTGTGAGAATTGTAACTATCTTCATGAAAAGAGAAAAATTATGTGTGGAAACTATTGAGATAATTCCCTCTTATCCACAGCAGGGAAAATCCTGACACACATTCTTCTGAATCACGTGTGGGTGAGGAAATCCTCCCACAGACATAGTGACATCACCTCTTTGTCTCTCCTTCTCTGTCTCAGTGTTAATCTTTATCAGACTGTTTTTGTATGAAATATCTTCGGATGTTTTGAATCTTGAAGGCTCTCATATAAGTGTAAGTTGTTGCCCTCTCACATTCCCTCCAATCCTGAAGGTACAGACCTGGAGGACAGGCTGTGGATATTGATTGACCTCTACAGCTCTGATCCAACTGGCTGTTCAGCATGTGGACAGCCAGGCAGCGAATGCTGTGAGACAATGGTAACTGTCACAGCCGAGACACATCCTGCCTTCCCCCTGACTTCCCACCTGTGCTCACCGATGAGGAATGGGGTTCCCGGCTGATTCTCCTCCTCCATAAATCAGAGACACTTGAGGCTAATTGAAGTACCTTCATTACCACTCAGGAATGGCTTCTCTCCCAGGTGCTTGTGCTGGTCGATCAGAAGCTGAAGCCTTTCTAACCACTGAGTATCTGATTGTTTTCTTGGTCAGAGTGAGAGTCAGTGAGTGACTTGTACTTGACGCTGAACTGAAAGGAACTCCTATACATGCTGATGTCTTCTTTTGATGTTTGGAGATCGGATTAAGGGTTAAATTGGCTTTTTGAAATAATAGGGCCAATGGAAGAGAGGTTTGAGACAGGCCCTGCTCTGATAGACAGTGCTTTGGAATGGCAGCTCCCCTGTGTGAGCACTGGAGGGGAAACAACACAGGCAGCTCTCAGTGCAACAGAATCAGGTGACCATGCTCCAAGTCCATGTGGAGATGCCGGTGTATGGTGAGAGAGCAGGAGAAGGCACAAGAATCCCCGACACACAGCACACTGGAAGGGTATATCTTCTGTGTGGATTTTACTGATGTTCCAGGAGGTCTGAAACTTTATTACAGAAGACTTTATTACAGAAATCACATTACTTGGGAATCTCCCTGTGTGAGTGCATTCATGGACCAAGAGAAATACTGACTATTTGACAGCTTTGACACACGTTCTCACACCTGGATGCCTTTTCTCCTTTGGGAATTCCATGATATTCAGCAGGATTGAAGACTGAAAGAGAACATCAACGCAAACCTCCCAGTTCAAGTGTGGATCCTCTGATGAGCCAGGAGTGTTGACAAGTGCCTATAGGCTTTGTCACACAGCTCACATGTGAATGGTTTCTCCCCTGTGTGAGTGCGTTGGTGGTCACGGAGGGTCGATGACCGCGAAAATGATTTGTTGCACATATGACATGTGAACGGTTTCTCCCCAGTGTGAATGCGTCGATGTTGCATGAGCGTCGATGGCTGTGTGAAGGCTCGATCACACACCTCACATTTAAAAGGCTTCTCCCCTGTGTGAATCCTCTGGTGCATCAGGAGATGTGAGTATTGAGTGAAAGCCATCTCACAAACCTCACATCTGAAGTGTTTCTCTCCTGTGTGAATCCTGTGATGCATCAGAAGCCTGGTAGATGTCGGGAAAGTTTTACCACAAACCTCACACTTGAAGGGCTTCTCCCCTGTGTGGATTGTCTGATGGCGCAGGAGGTTCGATGACTGTGTGAAGGCTTTGTCACATATTTCACAAGTAAACAGTTTCTCTCTGTTATGAGTACGCTCGTGAGCACGAAGGCTTGATAAATCAGAGAACGATTTGATACACACCTCACAAGTGAATGGTTTCTCTCCCGTATGAATGTACTGGTGCATGAGGAAGGTTGATGACCGCGAGAATGATTTGTTGCACACTTCACATTTGAATGGCTTCTCCCCAGTGTGAATGCGTCGGTGATTTACGAGTGTAGATGAGTGTGCAAAAGCTTGGTCACAAACCTCGCATTTGAATGGTTTCTCCCCAGTATGAATGCGTCGGTGACTCACTAGCCTCGAAAAATGTATAAAAGCTCGGTCACAAAGTTCACACTCAAATCGTTTTCCTTCCATTTTGCTGCTCAGCTGAGGGACAACTCAAGTGGGTCAGGATATATCGTGAGTTTATGGAGCCCTCCCAACTCTTGAACAGTCTCTCATCAGTAGGAATGAGTCAATAGTTCAACAGGTTTGATAAATGATTGAAGCTTTCACCACGCTTCGAGCCACTCACATTTCTTCCCAGTCTCAACCTGACCGATCACCCACAGCTGAACCTTCAGAAAGGTTGATTCTGATGGAAGGCTCCACACCACAGACCAGTTTCAGATCTGATGATATGTCAAAGCTCCCCTGACCCAACTGATTTCCAGATAATGGTTTCACTGCCCAACCTTCTCTGTGTTGAGCAATGTTGTGAAGGGACTAGATGTCTTCCCACAGTTATGCAGTTGTTCCTTGGGTTATGGTCAGGATCTGTGGTGTTTACCGTCTCTGCATTCTCTGTTGTAGTACAGTGCAATTGTTCTGTAAAACAGGAAAAGGAAATGTGATTTCCTCCAACTCCCTCTCCCCATTTGCTGAAGGAACTGACTCCACAGTTAGAGACTGTTCCACAATGACTGCCAGTCTGCTATTCCCCTGCGTGGGGGAATCAGATACAAGTCCTTTCTTTTTCCTCATTTGACTGTCACCCTCTGTTTCCATCAGGGTCATTGGATAGTGACCAGAAGCAGACAGTGCAGCAATTTTCTTTCCTCTGCCCATATCCCCATTTTCACAGACATGAAGGCAATGGAGAAGGCAGTGTAAAATGGAGTGTAAAAGGCGCTATGAGTTCATCGTGAGCTAATATCACTGAAACGAGTCAATAGGAAACATCCAAGACTCCTCCGTCACCATCCTACGTATCCTTCCTCCTGAACTGTTGGGTAAATTCCCTTCAAACACACAAATCCTCACCACTGTCAAGCAGGCGGAGGCCAGGTGTGCTTTATTGGTCTTTGTAAGTTTGTTATATTTTAAATTTAAAACAACACAATGAAGGTTGTTTTGAGATTACAGAACTCTGCCTGGTAACAGGCCACGTGGTCTGGTTACCATGGGCACAAATTGAAACTTGTTGTGCAAGATGAGAAGTTATCACACCTGAAAACAAGGTCAAGAGAAGTTGAAGCTGACTGGACAGACTCTGTCTCTGAGATTACAGAAAGAGAGAGAGAAAGAGAGAGAGAGCGAGAGAGGGAGGCAGTGTGTGTGACAGGTTAGAGAGAGGCCCCAAGGACTGCAGCCAGTGTAGTCAGCAGAGAGGAGAGGGTGTCCTTCTATCGGCTGCCAAGTAGAATGTGGGAGGGACCACGGTCTCAACAATATGACATGTTCTGTGATAATCTTAAAAAGCCTGGAAATTTTGTCTTGGTGAGGCCGAGGAAGGTTGGCAGTCAGTTCACAGTTTCTCTGGAAACTCAGAGAAACACCTTTTGATGGTCACTGAAAGTTATGAATCAGTGAAATGGGAAAAGTGAATCTCCTGAAAGCTGGGTTTGAACTTGGAATGGTTCTTTCAAAAACTGAGATTCTGGAGAAAGTGGAATGTAAATTATAACTGTGGTATATTCAGGTCTGTTAAGTTAAAGGTAGACATCTCTTCTGCAATTCAGAGTGCTAGTTGCTGACTTGATGTAGTTTAGGCAATGTTTCTTTTTATTGGTTTATTGGAGTAAAAAGTTGGAAATTTGAAACCTTGTCATGCAATTTAAATTGGTCACCAGGACTTCAAATCTCTTTTCAAAAGTTAACAGAATCTAAGGGACGATATCAATACCTCATTGACGAAACAGATAGAGTCATAAAGTCATACAGCATGGAAAAAGACCTTTTGGACCAAAAGGTTCACGCTGACCATGTTCACAAACTAAACTAGTCCTACTGCCTGTGCTTGGCCCATATCCATCCAAACATTTCCTATTCATGAATTTATCTAAATGTCTTTTAAACATTGTAACTGTACCTGCATCCACCACTTCCACATATGAACCACTCTCTATGTAAACAGGTCATCCCTCATGTACTTATTAAATCTTTCTCCTCCTACCTTAAAGATTTGTTTCTTGTTTTGAACTCCCCCATCTTACGGAAAAGACTTTTGCTATTCACTTTATCTATGCCTCATGATTTTACAAACTTCTATAAAGGTAACCTCTATAAAGGAACCTCCTAAGCTTCAGTTAAAAAAAGTTCTAGCCTATCAAGACTATTTTACAACTCAAGCCCTCCATTCCCAGCAACATTCTGGTAAATCTTTTCTGAACCCTCTCCAGTTTAATAATATCATTCCTATAACACGATGACCAGAACTGGACACAGTACTCCAGAAAAGGCCTCACCAACATCCTGTACAACATCACAATGATGTTCGAAGGAGATTGCTATGCATGCACACCACTTTCTGACATTACAACAGCAAACACAATTCATAAAGTACTTCATTGGCAGGAAAGCACTTTGGAACATCTGGTGGTTATGAAAGTCTGCATATAACTGCATGTCTTTTCTTTGCTGAGAGGGACACATTGATAGTGGAAGGAGGCCTTGGAGGGATATGAAAAGCCAGTAAATTTCCACATCTCAATACGAACACACGTGACCATTTACAATCCACAGGATAATAACCAGCCCCCAACACACATATAAAACTTAACAACAGGATATCAGTTTGAATTCTCAGACACTCTGCATCTCCCAGATAATTACGCCTCACCTTTTCATATTCAGGAACGAGCCATCAACGACAACACAATCTGAAAATCAGAAGGGAAATGCTTCCAACAAACACACTCAATATCCAACACACAACTCCAGTCAAACAGTTCAGTACAAAGCACCGAGTAAACAGCTCTCTCAGCTGGATCTTCTCACACAGCATAAGGGACATTTCCACCCCGATTACCCACAGGATAGTCAGACTGCCTGAAGATTGGTGTGGATATTATGGGGTACAATTTGTATAAAAGCTGCTCCTTCACTCACCATCTCCTCACTTGGTTTTCAGTCTCTATAGGAAATGAACTCGCTCTGGAAGAGGAAGAGGAGAGAATGGGCAGAGTGGGTGGGCTCTCTGATTGACGTCTCTCACAGTCAATCCAAATATTTCTGCAGCAACATGAGTTTCCTGAAACTTGGGAAACTGACCGGTGAAATGGAGGTGACTTTGTGCAGCAGATCAGGTGGGGATTTAAACTTGTCAGTGTCCCATCTGAATAAAACCTCACTTATTGCAGCTGCTGTCTCAGTTCCCCTGGTAAATGTTTGACGGAGATTTCTTGGGTGGGAATAACATTATTCATCCTCAGAGACTTTAAAGCTGACAACATCAGTATGGGATGTGCAGTATCGAATGTATTTGACAACAGATCAGAAGAGGAAGACATACAGCACTAGTGGGATTAGCACATGCACAGGAGGGAGGTGCACTGGAAAGAGGGTCTCATAAGGAAGGGATCTGAAAGCACCTCTTGGCAAGTAGCAACCTGTATTTTGAAAGTGACTGTCAGTCAGAGGTTGAGTGGGGGAGGGACATAGTGAAATGATTCCTCACAACTCACCAGACCTCCCTGCTAGACTCTCATCCTGTACCTGATGCCACAACCTTTCCTTTACTTTCATCTCTGCCCCTCACTCTTCAAGTGACTCCAAGTCCTTTCCAAGGGTTTGGAAGATAACAACACATTTAAGGACCTTGCCAAGTTCTGTGAGGTTGGAAATCAGAATAATTTGCAGGGCATCAAGTTTTATTCTTAAGAGAGGGGTTGATAACAGCCAATTTAAAATAGAAAGCTAAAGAGAGACAACAGTGAGCAACGTAAGCTAACATGGAGCCATGATAGGAAGATGAGTGATCAGCAGTCATTGACAGAACAGTTAGACAGGGAGTTGAAGAGTCATTTTTTTCAACGCAGTGGGTGGTGATGGTCTGGAATTCACTGTCTGAAAGAGTGATAGAAGCAATAGCTCATCACATTCAAAAAGCACTCGCACATGAATTTGAAGGAACAACAATGGGGATGGAATAACTTTTTCCCACTGTCCCATCAAAATTCACAGAGAAGCTATAGCACTGGTTAGATACAGTCCATGTAAACTGTCCCTGGTGTGTCAGATTAACCCAAGTCACTCATACCTGGATGAGGATCAAGGTTCATGTACCTCAAACATTCAGATGTTCCTGCATTCCCAACTTTAATGTTATCAGACACTAGATTTAGGAGCAAGACCTGGGCCAAACAGGGAAAAGAGGCATCCAGACCCAGTGTATCTAGTGGTGAGAGGGTGCATTGCAGCTCAGCCTCACTGAGACAAACCTGCAATTTTCAGACAGTAAATTGTTGTTCTGGAGTATGGCTGTATTTAAGCAAGTGGGATTTAGGATGTTTAGGTTTTTGATGTGGGCATACTCTATTATTGCCTAGCCTGTGGGCTGTAACTTCGTTCTGGAGTCTACACACTTTCCCCCATCAACTTCAGTTCTCCTGACACCAAGGACTTTACGATCTTTCACAGTGAAACTTCTCGAGTGTGAGGTTTATGATAAAGTGTTTGTGACACCTTTAAGCCTCCTGATACACCAAATAATTCACACTGGAGAGAAACTCTTCCAATATGAGGTTTATGAAATGGCTTTTATTCAATCCTCTGATCTCCAAGGCAACAGAGAATTTACACGAGAGAAATGTCTTGATACTGAGGTTTGCCACCAAGCCCTCATAGGTACCAACCCTTGCGGATCTCTGATTTATTCACACGAGGGAGAAGCAATTCCCATATGAGGTGTGTGACAAATCCATCTTGAGGTCATCACACCGTCAGAGATATGAGAGAATTCACACAGGGGAATATCCCTCAGCTGTGATGTTTCTGAAAAGGCTTTCACCCAAGCCTCTGATCTTCTAAGACACCAGTGGCTCTATATTGGTGAGAAAACATTCAGGTGTGAGATGTGTCTTTCACACAAACAGTGTATCTCCTGGTCCATTAAACTACTCAAGCAGGGGAGT